TTAAAGGAACCCTTAATGGAACCCTAAACCCTAAAACCCTAAGAGTCCTTGTGGTTAAAGATGCATAGGCTCAGGGCTTCCGGAGCCTTCCCCGGCCAAAGCCTCTGGTGCTTCAAAGATCCCTTTCTCTTAAGGCTCATGGAGCTGTTTCGGGTTTTTGGTTGAGGGTAAAGGGTTTAGGGTTGAGGATTTAGGGTTTAGGGTTGAGGGTGTAGGGTTAAGGGTTTATAGTTCAGGGTTTAGTGACGTTTAGTTGCCCCTATAAAGCTATCACTGGCCATTAGCTACCAATGTGTATAGGGCTTGGGAAGTACCTATCATTGGCCATAAACTGTACCTACATAAGCAGACCTTCGCGCCGAAGCATATGGCTACGTGGACCTGTAGAACTTCATCGTCTCAGGCCCCTGACTCAAATCTGCGAATCCCGTGTCGTAGTATAAGGAGCCCCTGTATGTTGAGAGTTGATGCTTGGAATATCCAATCCAACGGCACAGAGAACCCTGCTGTTGGGGACAGGAGTCAGAGAGCTTATGACGGTAGTTCCGTGAATTAGGGCCCCTTCTTTGATCCCGCGAAAAGAGTCCATCAACAAGGAAAGAAGGGCTAAGCCCACAGACCCTCATCCCTAAAACCTCGACCAGCAATCGGAATTCAATGAAGCACCCCCTGCTTTCTGATCCCTAAAACCCTAAGCCCTAAACTTTACCCCTAAACCCCTAAACCCTAAACCCTAAACCCTACACCCTTCAAACCCTAAACCCTAAACCTTTTAAACCCCCTAAGCCCTAAACCCCAGGGACACCTTAGCAGGCCTCAGCAGACCAAGCCCTAAACCCTTAACCTGCCTTTCATGAGTATATATATATATATATGCATGTATGTACATGTATGTGTATATGTGTATATATATATATATATATATATATGTATGTATGTGTGTATGTATATGTGTGTGTGTACATACATACATATATACACGCACATTGTTGATTGAGTTGATCTGCGTATCTATCGGTTTGATGTTCGTTCTTCTGTGTTCACGATTTTTTATTCATGCATACTTATGTATTTATCAAAACGACAACTGCTTTAAAGCCGATTAGCCTGAGTGTGTTTCGAGCTTTCTTGTGCTTTCGCGAAGAACGATGAAGGTTTTACGAACACCGACGGGGATTCGGGAACAACGACATGACATCGTCGTGTTTCAGGATTTCTTCGACGTGTCTGCGATTAACTCACCGTTGTTCGCCATGCCCTCGCTGTTTTTCACGATGTCGGTGTCGTTGTTCGCGATGTTTTCGTAGTCTTTGGTTGCTATTTCTTACGTGGTTGAGGGTTCAGGATGTAGGGTTCCGTCTTGGGGGTTCAGGTTTGGAGGTTCAGTATAAAGTGGACATTGCGATCCCAAGGGGGGATAGGTAGATTCTCGACGCCAACGTAGTTTGACTAGAGATTGCTCGAACTGGAGCTGCTGAACACCAAACCCCACAAAATAAAGCCTATACACCCTCAAACCTATACTTCTAACCCCTAAACCCTAAGCCCCGTAAAGCCAAAACCTAAACACTTCAAAAGCACTCGGAAGGACTTCGGCGTGGAGAGCCGCTTGGGCTCTCCTTGGGGGTTGGCCTTCGACGAGGCATTGAGAAATCTTGCTTGTCTATAGGGCGCCTGAACGGATTTAGAAGGGCTTTATAGGTGTCTAAATGGCTTGAGGGAGTTCTACGAGGGTATTGGGTTTAGGGTCGTGTAGTTCCGATACATTCGAATTTCCGGAGCATCACCTACTCAGCAGGGTGCGCGGGTACAGGTCTCACGCCAGGCCCCCCCCCCCCCCCCC